TTACCGACTAGATATAGTGGGCCTCACCTCCATGCAAAGCTTGGGCTCTGGAACCAACTCCTTAAGGGGCTGGACTCTCCATTTCTCTGGCGTTGGCCCATAGTTCAGCTGCCATGTTTTGGAGTTCACCCCAGTGAACAGGATGGCGACATCCCTGCGCCCTTGGGTCGGGGACAGGTCTCTCATTATTGTGTGAGCCTATGAGCTGAACAGCAGTGCAGTGCAGAGTACCCGAGATTCTTTGAATCCCTGGGAGGGGTACCAAACGAATACTTTAAGGATCTCCTCAATCCCACTGTCACCATCTTCCGAGAAGAAAGCAGAGGCTGGGGACTCGGAGGCGGACTCGTCCATCACGCTGGCTGAAGTCACTGAGGTGGTTTGCTAGCTCTTCATTGTTAAGGCCCTGGGGGTGGATGATATCCGTCCTGAGAATCTTAAGTCTCTGGATGTTGTGGGCCTGTCTTGGCTGACACATCTCTGCAACATTGAGTGGTGGTCCCTCTTTATAAGAAGGGAGACTGGAGAGTGTGTTCCAACTAAAGGGGAATCACACTCCTCAGCCTCCCTGGTACGGTCTAGGATACTGGAGAATGGAGCGTGAAATTGACAGGCAGATCGATGCAGCGTCGGCAGTGATGAGGTCGCTGTATCGAACAGCTGTGGTGAAGAGGGAGCTGAGCTGAAAGGCAAAGTTCTCGATTGACCGGTCAATCTACGTTCCTACACTCACCTATGGTCATGAGCTTTGGCTAATTACCAAAAGAACAAGATCGCAGATACATGCAGCTGAAATGAGTTTCCTCTGGAGAGTGGCTGGGTGCTCCTGTAGAGCTGCTCCTCCACCTTGAGAGGAGCAGCTGAGGTAGGGCATCTGTTCCAGATGCCTTCTGGACACCTCCCTTGGAAAATGTTCCGGGCATATCCCACCGGAAGGAGACCCCGGAAAAGATCCAGGACATGTTGGAGGGACGATGTGACTGTTGCCCCTGTGACTAGGCCCCAGATAAGCTGAAGAAAATGAATGGATGGATCACAAAGTGTTTTCATGTTTTCAGTATAGGAGAAGAAGTTAAAACCTAAATATGCTTTTTTTTTTTTTTTTTCCTTTTCTTTAAACGTGAGAATGAAACAAAACACAACTCCAGGTATGTTTGTGTTGAGGAAACAACATTATAACATAGATCAGAAAATTAGCTTAATATGGACCCTTTAAACAGCAAATTCCAGCATAGACCTTTCCTCCAACTCACTTTTAACCTATATAGGGATTAAAATCACAGTTGCATGGTTTACAGTGCAGCCTTCTTATACAATTTATGCTCTACTTTCTCTACACTGTCCTTAAGACCCGGGTTCATATCCTTCTTTCTCACAATTCCCCCTATGGCCATATGAGGACAGCAATCAAAATTCATGAGCTGTTTCTATCAAGTATGTATGTAACTTATATATATTTCATTTGACGTTTGATGAGGCCCCATGGTACCCTATATCCCGCAGTGTGGGAGACTGACGTCAAAGCACACACGCTCACATACCTCTATCTTTACGGGGAACACTAATTGACAGCATTCTCTCTGTGTACTTCTGATGTAGTACATACGCTGCACAAAGAGAAAAAGCAAAACAAATACACCTCCACTAGAATTGGATGATTTCAACCCTGGAACTGCCACTCTCCACAGAACTAAAAATAAAAGGAGCTATTAACTTGAAAAAGTACCACAATATGACATCACAAGGTGGAACAGAACATTTTGATCTCTGGAGATGTAGACAGACTAATAATAAAAGATTCCTCAGACATGGGTGAATGAAACAAAACACAACTCCGGGTATGTTTTTGAGGAGGTTCTCACAATACTCAATTTTGCGTAATGTAGGTATATAAGTATTTGTTCATGCTTTATTAAGGTTAATGTAGTGTAGTTACATAAAGTATTACAGAGAATATTAATCTAGATTTGAGTATTTTGGTTTAGTTGCTATGACAATACTTTAATAGCTTTAAGATTTCAGACATAAAATTCAGCTACTGGGGGTGTAGAGTGTTAGCCAGGCTGGCGCCACCTAGTGCCTCCCCTCGATTTCATTTATTTCCATCGACTAGGAGAGCTGTGAAGCCGACAATTACTTGGACACCATTGAGCGTTACATACGTCTCGACCAAATAACAGCGATTAGTTAAATTAAAAAAGTGCCCACCTACTGTCAATCGAACTAATCCTAATGCTGCAAGGTCAGATGGTTTCCACAAAGTGAAACCGGCTGATGAATCAGGCTAGTAGAAAGTATGCAAAAAATCTAATTCTTGCTCCTTTAATAATTTGTCTCGAGATTAAAAGTTATGCACTGAAGCAAATTTGAATAATCTGAAATTAAAATTGCAATATGTAACTTCTGGTCTCCATGGAGATGACAGTGGATTGCCTGAATTGTTGTTATAGTATAGAGACAAATTGCTGACGCCATAAGGGCAGGTTACAAGTCAAATCTGTGGAGCGGCAAGCTGGATCAAGTCTTTTTGGGGCAAGAAAAACACTTCTAATTGACAGATATGTTTAATGCCATACTGTGTAACATTCCAGACAATGCAATAACCAGCTCCCCCATGAGACAAGCAGGTAGCGCACCCTCCACCAGAAAAAGTAGTGCATCTTTATGATAAATACTTGTAGTACTTTAAACTGTTTTTTAAAATATATTTTACTAAACAAAAACAGAAAAATAAATAAATAAAATAAAAAGTGAAATAAAATAACATAAAATAAAAATAAAACAATCCTCACCCCTCTCTCCACACCAACTTTTAAAAGTCACTCAACTCCAAACTTTTAACTAATCTAAGCCTCTGAGCATTTTTTAGCCGGGTAAGCTCTAGAGTACTTCAGTCTTCTGTCAGTACTAGAGAAAGTACAGTAGAGTACAACGCCGGACTTATGACTCACTCATTCACCTCAAAGTAACTTACAGCACTGAGGGTTAACCAAGGACACGCTGCTCAGACACAAAAAGGGACACAATTGTTTAAAGTTTATTTAGCGACTGCTGACTGATCTTTTTGTATGACTGGGCGTTGTCAATATCTTATGTCAAATGTTACTAATTATGTTTATGTTGCAATATTTGAACAAGTAATTTTGCTCTGGTGGGGATAAAGAAAATGTAAGTTCTGTTCTAGCGTAATGCGCCGGAGCCATCCAACCACATAACTGCACTTTAATGAGTCTGAATAAAGCACAAACAAAGACTCAATTAATATGTACTTTGCCGCTGATGTCGTCGTCAGTGTTCAATGGGGATGTGACGCTAACTGTGGGCACCGTTCTGTCAGAAGAAGAACAATTTAACCCAAGCTTTTTTGACCATAAAGAACTGATTTAGCTGGAACTACAACAACTACAACTATTTACTTTTTTGCTGAACGTCCAACCATCTTAAAGCTTTTTTTTTTTTTTTTTTTTTTTGCTAGTGCCTGTATTGTGTCACCATGGTAACTGCTGAACATTCCACTATAGTATAACCCCGCATACTAACATACTAAGCTCTTAAGTCTTTGTTTGTGCTTTTTTAGAACTAATTAAGTTGTAGCGGTAGATATTTTTAAGTTTTACCAAATAAAACAAAAACATAATATTTTTATACATAGACAGAATAAATTGTGCCTTTAAATCATGTCTAAAGTTGATTAATAAATAAGTCGTAGAGTATAGACAGAGTATATATCTGACTTGTTACACCTGCCTTGGTACAGTGCCCTATATATGTAAACACTAACAAAGAACATAATGTACAAAAGTGTTCTGGTGACGGGTCAGATCAGGACAGGCATTTTTCTAGAATACGTTGAGCCAATGTAAATAAATCACTTCTAAATATGTCACAATTGAGATTTATTATTTGCTGTCTTTGTAAATAAATACTGAAATACTAAATACAGGCCCTTTCACCCAATATCTATGTCAGGTTCAACAAATGTTACGCTTCTAATTCAATAATTCAGATTTTGTTCTTATTATCCAAAGTGTAAAGTGGACTGATTAGTTAAAATGTCCTAACTTCTTATAGAGAAGTTACTGTTCTGTCTGAAATGTTCCGCAGTGTATCATTAACTATCTCATGCATATTCAGTCCATGTGTTTTTAAATTGTGACTTGTATTGTTACTTTGAGCAGCGTCGCCTTTCCACAGTGTCCACGGACAAAATAGATGCATGTAATGCCACAGTGTGAAATATTCAAGGCAAAGCAATAGCATCTCTATGGAGACGACTACTGGAAGTCACGTACTGTACCTTTAACTGGATTGTGATGTATAAGAACACACGACTAAGGACACATTCTTATAAATAAATGGTCATACTACAAATAGGCATTTTAAGTGAAGTAACAGTATCAGTATAGATCAAAAGTGTTTATTGTATGAAAAATATATCAATAAATTGGAACAGCGTGTACAAAAAAATAGTGGTGAGGACAAGAACAGCCCCCAGCCTCAGCTCCCCAGTACAGGACATCAGTATCGACCCCGTGGGACTGGCCCCTTGGTGAGCCGAACTTCACAAAAGCACTGGGGACAGAGGGGGGACATGTCGTACTATCCCAAAGACATAAGAAGACACAACTGTGTACAAATATAACAGTAAAGTACAAATACTGTGTTCAATGAAATAAATATCAGTCTAATGCTATGGAAGGCTCTGTAGACAATGGAGGTCGTATCCCCAACGGCAGTGTGGAGCTCAGATGTGAATTTCACATGTTTTCAATGCCAACAAAGAGGACTGTTTAAATTGTTCTTCAACATGAGTCCATTCAAGTATTAGGAGTCAATAGCACAGTTTTAGTAACAGTGTGACCTTTTTACTGTTAAAGTTTGGCAAATTCTGAAACATTTATCAAACTAAAACTAAACATCAAATCTTGACCTGAGAATGCGAGTCTACTTGTGTGACATTACAAAGGCTGATACAATAACTGACTGAAAACAAAGGACATATTCAACTCTTCAGTGGCGTTTTTAAAAGCACTTAACAATACGATCTAATCAAAATGAAATACAGTTCAAAAACAAGACTTGGACATGGTTCTTGGTTATAAATGTAAACTAGACTTCCATGATCTTGCTGGTGGCTCCCACGCTCTCTCTGTACTGATCCAGCCAGTCTTTGAGCTCGGAGATGCGGTAGCCCTCTGGTCCCCTGCCTCCCTGGTACACGATCCTCCCCTCGGAGGATGTACAGTCTGTCAAAGAAGGCTCCATACGCGGCGTTGGACGTGTTCTCCATGCTGTCCACCACCACCAGGCAGCCGGGCACCTCAGTGCGCATCAGGCGCGCAGCGTGTAGCCGATCCTCCAGACACCTGTGCCGGGGGATCTGGTACGGAGCGTCCGTGCTCATCCACCCGTCCGACGGGTGCGCCTCCTCTATGTACACGAGCACGGAATCCGCAATGTCTGCGTTCTGCTGCACCACGCTCTGGAACGCTTTGAGGCGCGCCATGAACGGAGGTCAGGTGCAGCTGCCGAAGTTGAGGATGAGAGGTCTGTTCTCGTGTGCATAGTCTAGGATGCGCGCGCGCTTCTGGTCCTCCAGTTGAACTACTTCGGTGTTGGGCGCCCCGTGACCGAGGTGCGCTTCTTTGAGAAAGTCCAGCTTGTGCCCGTGCCACACCGCTTTGAGAGACTCCAGGCTGAACAGGCGGTTGGAGTCGGAGATACACAGAGGGGGGTCTAAACAGTCCTCCTGCTCCTGGATCTGGAAAAACACTCGCTTCCTGATGCACAGAAAGTCCAGCAGCCAGAACATGAGTGCGGTGATGAAGAAACGGGGCAGGAGGACCAGGCACACCACCGCGCTCTTCACCGCTTCCATCCTTTTCATGTCCCCGGACCGGCGTGGTGCCCTCTCAGGTTCAACTCTTTGGCCTGGTTTTATAGCACCGGCACATTCGGAGGATGCACACCCCGCCTCCGGAGTGGGGCCGTGGCCTCACATGGCGGGGATTACCTTCCGTCAACTCCACCGCGTTGAGACGCAGCCAAAACAGCGCGAAAAAGATGCGCCAAAGTTTGTAGTCCGCAGGACCACAGACACCTCCAGAGTCCAGAGTCATGTGCGAGTCAGGCCTGAGCTTTTCCCGGGCCGTGCGTAACAAGTGCGTAAAGTTAAGCGCACGAGGAGGATGTATTTATGACTTCTTGGCTGATGTTTCTGTGATATTATTTTCAAATTGTCTGGCATCTCCAAAAATGTATTTTGCCATATCGTTGAACCAAAGCAGAGAATCACCCAAACTTTTCTTTAGAATGGAGAATGTGTATTTGAACAAAACTCTGCAGTTTTGCCATACGCTGACTCCGCGTAGCACAAAGGTCACAGTGAGAAACCAGTTTATTTTAAGATGTGAATATGGTGTTGACTGAGGGTGCAGTGTGAGCTTTCTGCCACCAGATGTCTCTCAGTCAAAACGGAATAGGCCTCCAAAGACCCCACTTGCGTCGCAGCGCGGCAGATTCCCTCTGAACGTACTTGTGGATAATTAGAAGTTCACTGCAGCACAAAAACCTCCCCATCATATCATCTATTTATCTATCTTTGTTAGTAATCTACAGAGGTGGATATCTGCTATTTTAAGAGAAACTAAATCATATAAATGTTCAAATCATTTCATATTGCCAACATAAAGCTTTTGTCACTTTGTAGATGTACTCAAAGTCATCAAAGTCACCAAAACATTTACTCAAGTCAAGTAAGAGTACTGTTACTTCAATAAAAAATATTACTCAAATAGGAATACAAGTATGCTGCAAGAAAAGTGCTATGAAAAGTACAATTTCTTTTAAAGGGATCATATTAAGTTATTTTCAGGTCTGTGTAATAAAGTTTCAGAGCTTTTTGAGTTTTGGAGATGAAGACAGCCTAATAATAAAGTTTTACTCAAATATGTGTGAATGAAAACAAAAAACACAACTCCATGTAAGTTTTTGATGAGGTAACAACATTATAACATGACTTAAGCTCACAAGAGTATTTTTTTAAATATAGGACCTTTAAAAAGTTACTCAAGTAAATATAGCTGAGCACTATAAATCTATTTGTCTCAACACTAACTACTGAACAGTTCCCATGAAAATATTATAATTCTGAACTTCACTGCATGTACTTTTTGGGCTCATAAATAATAAAGACATACTGCCCCCACATTCCACAGGCATTGGATGTGCCGTGTAGCCAGAACTAATGTATGTTTAACTATATGTTGCATCAGCACAAAGCAATATTTTCCTTGGAGACAATGTGCGTTCTATGTTTTATAACACAGCACAGGGAGAGTCCAAACAAGACAAGCTCCATTCCAAGTGTCTTATAAATGAAAAAAGTTACTACCACTGGATTGTTAAGGCCGTAGACAGATAGCAAGGTTTGTATTGCTGAATATTTTATTTAAAGAGCTTTTATGACGCTGTTTTCTGATCTGTGTTATAATGTTTCTTCATCAAAACCATACTTGGAGTTGTGTTTTGTTTTATTCACACGTTCAACACATAAACTCTGCATATTTAAGAGAGAGTGCGCCGCTGTGTTTTCAGACTCTACAATGATTTGGAGAATTTTAGTGCTGGTATTGCCCATATCTAATGAACTAAACTGCCACCACATGACATCACAAGGTGGAACAGAGCATTTTTGAGCTTTGGAGATGCAGACAGATTAATAAAGGATCACTCAAACACGTGTGAATGAAACAAAACACAACTACAGGTCTGTTTTTGATTTGGTGCGCACCAAACGTTCCATTCGAACCAAAAGTGGTTAGTTCGGTTCGTTTGCGTTGGTGTGAAAGCGTCAATCGGACTCGGACCCGAGCCAAATGAAGCGGACCGAGACCGCAAAAATGAGGTGGTCTCGGTTCGCTTGAATCCGCACCAAATGACCAACTTTGGTGCGGTTCCTCTGGTATGAACGCGAACCCGGGTCCAAACCATAGACAGTATGGACAAACAGACTATTCGAAATGCATCATGGGAGGGACACGCGTCTCCTCTGCCTGAAGTGACGCGCTGTACGACTCCAGCGCAGTAACAGATTGTTGTCCAGACGCAGCCGCGATTCATTTTCGAATTATTTTACCAACAATGGCCAATACAGAGAATGAAACACACGAAGATCAGAGCAAGTATCAGTGTGCGAACGTGTGGCTCCAGAGTGAGTCAAAATTGGGGGTGCGTACCCCTGTTCGGGACCTACACGCACAGAGACGACCCGGTGTTCCCCGTGATCACACAGCAACCAACATTTGTTATTTTAGGCTTTAATTAACCAAATAATTTCATGGCAATAGGCAATCGCCCATTCAATTGATACAACTTAAAAAAGTCCCTGTTTTTAGCCTAGTGTGAGAAATACAGTCGGACTAGATCCAAACCAGAGTCCTGAACCAGCGGGGGCAGCTCCGGTTCAGGCCGGGCTCAGAGGAGCTGGAGCGGGGAGCCTTGACCTGAGGAAGCGCTTTCCCCGGGAAGAACCAAATGCGCGGAGGACGGACGCTCAGAACAACATATAACAAACCAAACTGGACTCACGCTTCTGTCCGGATGCTGCACCACCTCGGAACCAGCCGCGGTTCTTGAGCGCGGAGGACAGGAGCAGCGCCCGGACCTGTAGTCCACAGCGCATTCTTGCTTTTCCCGCACAGAACCAGCGCGCAGACGACGGAACGTACCCGCTCAGACCCTGTCATTGCGCCACTGGTCTTTCTCGCCACCGTTTGGAACCAGCACATGGAGGACAGAGCCTCCGGACCATCTGACCAACGAGCTTGTAACAGAAGACCAAGGACCAGACCCCAGCCCCGTCCTGAGGAGCTGCGCGCTACTGTGAGCGCTGTTGGCTGCTGCTGTTACCCGAACTCTGGGCTGATGCGGTGAGTTTGTACAAAGTTCTACATGTTGCTGTTTTATGAGTTCATGGTGATAATTTGAGATGAGGACGGCCCGTGGTATTAACAGGAACATCGGTGTTGGTAACTGGAGGTTTCGCTGTTTTACCGGGGAAACAGAGACACGTGAATCGAACCAGTTTTGGTTCGTTTGCCGGTGTGAACGCGGACCACACTGGAGTGTATTTGCTACATAATAACAATTTTATTGCCTGGTGCGGACCAAATAATCGAACTAGCGGTGTGAAAACGACCTTAATCATCACAAGAATCCATTTTGTGCAATATAAGACCTTTAAGCTACTGTAACTTTAAAATGTGTAAATAAAGTGGATTTAAACTACATTAAAAACTTGAAAAAAATGTATATAATGAGAGGTGACAGCTTCACGTCTTTCCTATATGGATCACATCGGGGAAAATCAGAGATAAAAGTTTACATTTTTGGGATTCTGTGAATGTTCCCCATAAGTTCGGAGCTGTAGATGATTATGTCTGGAGACGGGAGGTACAGGAGATAAAAGCATGTGGCTTAAGCTAAACCATATTTCTCAGTGTGTTTACCTTTCCTGGACTGTGGAGTCACAGTCCAGTCAAGTGTCATGTACAGTGTGAGGACTGTCAAATTAAAAGCACAAGTGTAGAAAAATATCACTTTATTCTCTTGATGAAGACATATTAAGATTTTTTGTCTATTAAACTATGACATATAAGGTGCTACAATGAAGCAGCAGTGGCTTAAGTGGAAACTGTTGTTGTGTCCTTTGACAAGACACTTGCCAAAGGACACAGAATGTGTAATGAATACATGTGTTGTGCAGATTGGCAGCCTTGTTCCCGTCAGTCTATCCCAGGACAGCCGAGGCTAATTTTCCACCCTCGGGTGTAGTGAATGAATAATACAAAGTAAAGTGTCTTGGATGTTCTGAAAGTTTCTATAAATCCAGTGCATTATTGTTATTATCAGTGACCATGTCCAAATACTGAAATGTGATTGTAATCTGATTTCTGGACCTGTAAGAACACTTATATTACATCTGATGTGAAAATCAGACAGATCATGATCTAAAATAAATGCTTCTAACAGAAAACTTCTTTACTGTGAAGAATTCAAGCTTTTTATGAGTCAGTTCCTGATGTGTGTTTAATTTATGTCAAAGTAACAGAGTAATCAAATTACTTTTGAAGACGTAATCAGACTAGTAATTAGATTGCTTTCAGACGGAGTAATCAGTAGCCAGTAATCAGATTTGCAAAGTAATCAGAGCACCACTGGTTATGATTTTGTGTCAATCATATTTTACATGTATGATTGTGAGAGTAACATTGATCTGAAACAGGTTTACAAAAGAAACTGCTCCATTGACTTTGTTCAAACCACAGAAGTAATGCGGCCAATCAAGTCATTTTTACAATGATCTGAGTGATATGAATGAGTGCTGCTGTGTGATCCTCATTAGTTTTGCCTTCACTCTTGTCCAACCACTCTCTGTGCATGTACTGCCCCATGTCTCCTGAGCCTTCTGTGGCAGGGGCAAAGTTCCTGTTTCTGCCCCTCTCAGTGCATAGTCCATTATCAGCACAGAGACCATTATCAGAGGATTATGGCAGAGCCACAGTGGAACACGCAGTGGAACAGAACATGTTGAACCAGAGCTGAACTGAACAGTGGAGCTGTCTGCTCCGAGCGTGAGGGACTGGCCTATGTCCAAGGTCCATGCTTACACTATATTTATGTATACTAGTGCTGTGTCCTCACCTGAACCAGCAGAGCTGCTCAACATACCTGTGAACAGAAGCTGTTGAAGTCTGCCGTACAAGGACTGACTGATCATACAGTGTTACTGCAGTTATTATCTGAGCTTCAAGTGCTTCTGTAAGCTCTTCATGTTTTTCTAATTATGACTTGATTTGGTGGGATAGTACCTGAGGTAAATATTCATCATAATTTTCAGTTAAGTGG